GAAAATGCTTTATTTGATGTTATCAAACATACTTGAGAAAAAGATAAAAACTGACCATCACTGGACTTTGTATGTAAATTCAAAGCATGTAAGTTCAAAAGCATTCAATTTAGTGCATCTCTCTTTCCACCCTTGTGATACTGAGACATATTTTGACATCTGTATACAACAGCATAAACCCAGAAATTAACAGAGAATGTGGTTCAGAGCTTCCTGGTTTCAAAAAACTCATGGATTTGTAAAAAAAGAATAAAATAAATTAAGCCCCAGTGGCTTCTTTCCACCACACTGAACAAGATAAGATGTTTTTCCCCCACATCTTAATAATTTTGGAGCAAAGTTAAAATGACCAGATAGGGATTTAACTGGCTACAGTCCTGCTAAAGATGCAACTGCTGCCAACTATGAAAACCTTTGTGGGCTTGCTGGCAAACGTAAGTGCACAACATATTCCACATACATGCTAGATCACTGCAGTAAACTATCCTTTCAGAGTCAAAAATCTCCTAACGCTGAGAATTAACCAAGCAAAACTGCACCACTGTAATTCACCTTCTGCTTCCATTGCTTTCCTAATTCACCTTTCTACTCAAGATATTGAGGATCTTTCATCTGCCTCATTCCTGTGGGGTTTCTCTATACAAAACATTTACAGCAAACCTGCACAAGTCGCTTGTCTTACCAAGTCCAATTAATATGCCACTTTACTTTCATCTCAATATAAAGTGCAAAAATAGGATGTGTAAAGAGAACTGCAATAAACTGCTGAAACAGTTCAGTGTTTCTGTCCCCCTCTATCAATATCTGAAGCTGCAACTGGGCACTGAAACAACTACTACTTCTACTCCAAGGAACAGCAATTCAGAGATTTCCTCTTCACAGTTAAGCAATATTTGAGGTCTTAGGATTGCCCAATCTAAATATAGGAAAACCACAGATAGATCACCAAGTATGAGGAGAAAATGGCACTCGGGGATGAAAAATAATTAACCTTTTGCAAATCTGGAATAATTTTACAAAATATTTATTTACAAGCTTTAAGTGCTCAATCAAGATCAACAGTATTAGTGTAATATGACTGACGAAATCACTTGGGAAGCTTTTACACCATCTTTTTTGAAACTGGGACAGGAAAGTTATCTGCTCACAACTGTTCACTGAAGCACATCAAGCTTTTCAAGCTCCCTCTTCCACCACTAATAATATTTCTCAAGGACATATAAATGGTTATCTCCCACAGCACTTCAAGCAAAGAACCATGAAAATCAGTGTACTGTTTGAAGAAATGGTTCTATCAGAAGAATCGCTGTAGGGCAAAAAAGTTAAAAAAGAGAACCCATGTGGCCTTATGCACAATACACTGAATTTCAGCAAGGCTGACAATCCAAAGATCAGGTACTGGGAGGATTATTGTTCTGATGGATACTATTCCAATCTTGGATGACAAAACCTCTTCCTTGAACTAAAAGCGGATTTGGAATGAACTTCAAAAGCCTGAGAAGACGGTTTATGGGGGAACTAACAGGGGAAGTTATAAAGCGGGGAGGGGAGTGTTTAATAAAGCATATAGATGATCTGACCATTGATTTTATTTTCATTTTTCAGTACATAAATGATGTATAATCTCTGGAATATGGTTATTAAGGCAATGTCCTGTGATTTTGCTGGAGCTGAATTGAGTTTTTGCATCATAAAGAATGCAGGAATGTTAAGACATAATACATTTATTTAAATTTTACTGATCAACAAAAAGTGTTACAAAAACATATCCACACAGAACAGAAAAAAAAAAAAAACACCTGAAAATATCCTTTTTCCTTTTGTTTGGGTTTTTTTTTCAGTACTGAATTAACAAAACCATTGAAATGCAGTCTTTCCAATGAAAGACAAACTTTTTCATAAAGAAACCACTGGAGAAATGTTTCTAGTAAAAAACAACCCACCCTCACACACACACGCACACAAACAAACCTCCATACTTTGGCTCTGAAAAAGAAAAAAGTGTCAAGTTTGAACCTCTCTGATGCTAATTTATAGGTCATTTTACAGAAAGATGTATTCGCAGTGTTGAGTAGCAGAAGGACCTTTTTAAGTATAATTTCTTGTATACCACAACTACTTACCATTGGCTAGTCATGATTCTAACCAAGGGGAATTTAGGATTAGGATTGCATTAAATTAACTTTCCAGAAAGTTTGCAGACTTGATTTAAAGGTATCTTGAGAGAGAAAATTTTTAACTATAGCTAGCATGCTTTAAACACTTGGAAAGGAAGAACAACCCAAACAAAACAAAAACAAAAAATAACCACAAATAAACAAAAATCCCACCAAACCAACTGTTTCTAACTTATTCTTAAAAAATACACCTACTTCATTTATGATATATGGGTTAATTCCTTATTATTCAGTTCTACTATTGCCAAGAATGACACAATTAAGTTCATAAACTTTATTCAGCTTACACAAAAACATTTACTAATGCACCAACTATGTATGCTATCGTAACAATTGTGCAGATCTGGAACTTTTCTAGTTGTGTTACCCTTGAAAAACAAGATGTGTGGAATTTCTACTAATCAGACAGAAGTTCATTCAGTCAAAAACCTGAAACTTAGTACTTTCAGTAAGACATGAAGAATAGAGGTTCTTAAGATCAGCAGTCAAGTAACTGTAAGAAAATAATGATTTCCTGCATCAAAATACAGAACACCTATCGTACACAGAGACCAGTAAACAGGCCAAAACATCCCCTTCATGTCAGCAAAAACTAAAAGCAAGCACATCTGACAAGCACATATTCAGCCCCTATTTACATGTATTCTGCTTCCAGGAATCTTTCTTTCTTTAAAAGGATTTAACTTACTGAAATTATTACCAATAGCTACTAAAAATCCTTGCACTTCTAATGGCTTATGCACTTAGTACTCATTGTTACTGTCAATGTATTTCAGTTGTTTGATATCTAGGGAGGTCAACTCAAATCACAGTCTCACTTCAAACTTGTAATGGAATATTTAGAAGTACGAGTTGTCACTCATTGTTAAGGTAAACACTCAACCTGCTTGACTTTCAGGGTGCAACTCATCTTACCAAAGTCAAAGGGATAACTAATGAACGAGCTTCATCACCCATCAGCTGTTTACTTGCCTAAGCCTTACAGACTGCAAATTCGTGGTAAATTATTTTTATTCCGCTATTTGCAAAGAAAAAACAATCTAACTGAAACAGAACTGACAACTATAAACCTAGAAATGGTGTAAGAAATGCCAACAGGAAGCATCCAAATGCTGTAAGCAGTATCAAGTGCTTGTGTATCAATTCCAAGATCCAACTGATTGAAATAACTGAGATACCAGTAGCTAACCAGGTATTAACCATCTGCCTTAAATTCACTTTTGAAGAGTTTAGCAGCCATAAAATGTTATCCTTTTACAGCTCTTCACCAAGGGAAACTAAATGTTCATGCAGTGAAACAGCAGAAATTACATGCCCAAAAAGAAACAGCACAGGTTAAATGTTTCTTACTCTTCTCTAAGAGTTGGGGTTGTTTTCTTTTTCAAACACTAGACAAGGAATTCTTCAAACAAAAGCCATTTTCAAAATCAGTGTTATTCTGTGGTCTAAACGTCAAATCCCTATCATATTTTCAAGTATAACTCTTAATTCAAATAACATAAAAAGTGTTCAAATATAAAGCAACGAGCTCAAATAAAATATGAACAGCACAGTTCAAGCTGTTTGCCTGAAATAACGGCAGGCAAAGCATGAAACTTAACAAAAACTGGTATTTCACAGTCTTACCACATGAATGAACAGGCTTCACAGACAATAGCCCGCCACTGTATAAAAAACAACACTGAAAATTTTATAAATGGTATTTTAATGCAAGTTGCTACATTAACATTACTACTGCTCCCCTTCCCCACCTGTCCTAGCCTCCGTTTAGTAATGAATCTGGAGCCTATGCTTGGACAATGGTTTCAACTATACCGCTATTTAACAAAAAGGACCACAAATGTTCCATATTATATGGTTGAAGAAATTAATATAAAAGCAACTCTCAATCTGAAAATGCGAGCAGAGAGGGAAATCCTTTGATTATGAAACAAATTCTAGGTAACCCCTAACTGCCTCCCCAAAGCACAAGGTGCAGCTACAAAGGTGGGTGTGACATGCATCAGCTTATTTTAAAAACTTTCAAAATATGGGTAAAATAACCAATATAGAAACAGTTGCTAATACATCCAGCAGCAATTTCAACAAGGTCAACATTTGTACTGATGATTGTCTGAGATATCAAAGCTGATGTATTCAAGGCAGCACTTAACTAGCTGATGACTGAAACTACACAGATCAGCAGTGATCACATTAAAAACCTAATGCATCATCTCCCAGAGTATAAAGCAGGTGGTAGAATTGCAGAAAATAAGATGGATTATTTTCCTCCTACGCGAATAACATAAGAAAACATTTTTCCAAATCTTGAAAGCTGAACACCTCCGTTCAGTAGCAGGGAAATAATTTTTCTAAAGACTGTACTAATATGCTAGAAGGCTTGAGATGCACACAGTAACAGCATACAAGCTTCTGAAAGAACATTTATGTTGCCTTTTTATCACTAGCTCAGAGTCTTATAGCCGTGTACACACACATGTAAAACCACCGTGCGTGCGTTGTACTGCTTAAACCCAAAGAAAAACGCAACACGTTCTGGGATCAAGTATGAGAACTTTCAGAGTGTTTAAACAAAATGGTGATTCCTGTTTTCTTTACGGGAGCAGACTAGGCTAGCACAACCTCACCAACCTTCCAAAGGCCAGCTGGGCTGAACCAAATCAGTACTGCAAGGCAACCTCCTTGAAAGGATGGCTCTGCAGAACACATGTATGTACCCTCTGCCCACCAGCCCCACTTCACCACTTCAGATAAGCCTCAGTAATTGGAGGAGGAAAAACAACTTTGCTGGGGTTCTTGTTTTCAAAGGCAAGTAATTTTCACCATTTTTAGGTCCATACTGCCAACAGCAGCTCACTTCCCCCCAGGAACGGTATTCCTCCAAAAATTCTCTAGAGTACTGCTGCCGCTCCTCCTCCTCCTCATCACATCTATCTTCAAGGTGCGATGCTGGGAAATGAAAAAGAGCACCTGAAAAACTGAATCAGCAGAGTTGTCAGCTAAGACTGCTAGAATTTTAAGCCTTAGTCTTGAAAAATTATTCCATACTTCTTAGCACAAGGATGATAGGGACTTGCCACAGCACCCCTGCCTACAGTCCCCAAGAGCGTGTATTCTGCACAACTGCTTCCTCAAAACACTCTGTATTCCTAAGTAAAACTGTCCTATCAGCAAAACCAAGTAGTTCAATAAAGCACTGTCCTCCCCATCATAGAAGACTTATTCTTATGTTAAGCTGAGGGATAATAAATTTCTCATCCAAAGAACTGGGCGTCTTTTTAATCAAAATAATTCCTTAGGGGTTTGGCTGTGACTCTTTTCCTCCCAGATGAGCCCAGCCAAGGACAATGGATAAAAAGGGCAATGAGACACCACCCAATCTAATTTAGCAAGAGGAGAAAATGGTACTTTGTATGAAGGCAACACATGGCAATTGCTTGTATGGCAGATGGTTTTGTTGTAGTGCTTTAGATTTATATGCCAGGAGCTCTCTGCAGCAGGAGAAGACACCTGCAAAGGGCTACCTTGGCAGCTGGAACCCTCGTCAGTCCCTTGTTCCAGAAGGAAAGCATCTCTTCACAGGACATCTTAGGAAAAGCTACAGCCTGTCTCCCTCTCTCCTATTCTTGCCCAGCTGACATAATATGTAGCTAGAGCCACCTTCTCTTTGTCTGCTTCCTTCTCCCCAAATCAAGCCACCTCTCTCCCAAACCTATAGTTGGAGGACATTGTTAGATCCTTTCAGGCTTGAAGTTCACAATTGGAAGGTTATCTTAGTGACCAAAAGGGACAGTTAGTTATTTCCAAGTCCGAAACATAGTTTCAGGAAACAAAAGTTCATGAAATTATACAGCTATTCTTCTCACCTGTCCCAGAAACTCCTGAACTCAGCATACTGAAAGCAAAACGTTAACAACCCCTGTACCGTAAGTGGCCAGGAAGTCGCAACAGTCACTGCAGTTGTTCGGTTCAGCCACCAAAAACAGAAATGCTGAGGGATCAGCATGTGCCTTAACTCCTTGTCTACTGCCTTGCCAGATGGACAAGCAGAGGTGAGACCAGGAGCACTGCAGAGAGAAGGGGAGGGCACACAGAGGAACTGAAGAGGAACACACAACAGATCCAATACTGCACTCCAACAACAAAACATAAGGCCATGGAAAACCATTTCATCAGGCTCACTGTACACACAGCCATTAGCCCTATCGCTGAGCTTTTCAGATCATGGTAACTCAGCACTATACTTTCAAAATGACTTTTTCTCTGCTACACTTAAGCAAACATTTTTAAGCAACAGCGATGAATCACTTTCTTGTACATTCTTCAATGAGGTTTGAGTATATAACAACATCCTTATGGGTTGGTATTTGTTTGCTGCATTTTGTTATAATTGCATTCAAAAACAAGCATCCAGAGTTAATTTTCTTTTTTTTTAATAAAAAGTTGCAAATGAATCTGCTTCAAATCACTTGGGTATCCACTTCAGAATCTAAAGTTTATTTTTAACTTAAGGATTTATTCCTGTTTCATATGCAAATCAGTATCCACTTGGAATCCCAACAGATGACTACCAAACTACATATGTGATAACAAAGTTCTTGCTACGCAGACCCTACAATCTTCATACCTTCAGAATAACTGAGGCATTACTCAACCTCTATTTTGATGAAAGCTAGAGCAACCATTTCCCTCTTAGCTGTTTTATAATGTTTCTCTACACCCAAAAAAAGGTTAAACTTAACTAACAAACAGGCCATACTGAATTTATGTCAATAGCTGAACATCTGTTAAGAGCACTGTTTCTCAAAATGCAATCCACAAAGGGCAGGAAGCTTATATGGTGCTGGCTTGCTTTCATTCACACCTGCTTAATTACATGAAAAACAACTAAAACACTTTAAGTATTTTTCAAATATCAATTTCCTTGCAATCAGGAGCTAGAGTAACTACAGAATTGTTTCCAAATCCCAAGAGCTGACACTCCCTATTGCACAAGACTCTATGAAATGCAGCACAGAACTTTTCTGTTGAGTCTTTTTCAGTGTTTCTGAAGGTGTTCAACCTCATACAAAATGCTCATATTTTCCAAGACAGCGAGATGCTCAGGTTCAAGACCTTGACCAAAGAATACCGAATTACATACACTGAATGATTTTCAATATGATAGACTGAAACAAAAATTCCACTCGAATCCTGCAGGATACAATGCTCTCCTAAGTGAAACGTATATTCACCACAGCAGTACCTGCACTTTTTAATTCCTCAGTTTGCAGCTATCTGGAAGGGGAGGAGGACAGGGAGAACATCTGACCCAATATTCAAAACAACTTTCACGTTGACCAAAACCATATTGTTATTTTTAAATCAGTTCATACTAGTGAGGTGCTCTAGAGAAAAGCATGTGAGAAATGAAAACACTCTACCTTTAGAAGAAAATGTAAATACTGTGTAGTATGTGAGGGCTTAGAGCTACTGAACAGTGGGGAAAAAAAATTAGTAATTGCTTATTAACAGAGGACCAACCTCCCTAAAGTAACGAATGAGGCTAGGTTCCTACATAGTACCACTTACTGTGTTTTTATAAAAGCTTAAAAGCAAGTTTCAACTGTGGAATTTCCTAAGCCTTGGGTACTTTCATTGGCAATCAACATACTCTCTTAGAAGCCTGTGTGTATATTTGATACACTAATTTAGTAATAGCTTTGTGCAGACTTTTTATGAGCAAGACAGTAGTTTAATTTCTATGCAGGACTCCTTACCCAAATTAGAACTATACCAGCATTTAAAGATACAGGATACTGGCTCCCCAACCTTTTCTGGAATAAGATAAATGAAAATATTTTGGCAATGAAACAGTCCCTCACAAGAAGAGCTTTTCTTAGAAGCTCCAACAGTTTCTCATACTGAAGAGCATTGTATTGAACTACATCAGAGACTCCAACCTTAAACCAAGCTGTGCTTTTTGTTACCAAATAAAATGAAGGTTGGCAATAAAGAGGTTTCCCTCCTGCTCAAAAGCAAGACTTCTGTGCAAATTTTAAGCGTGAACTAGAGGGACACTGTAAATTGAAATTCTGGGTAGGAGCTCTTCAGCTGTTCCTCTGAGCACAGAAAGATAAAGTGAACAGCATACCTACACGCCTGCTGTCCACGCAGCCCCATTTCTTGCTCCATGGTCCCATCCCCTCCGGCACACCTCTGACCACTCACAAAGCCAATTTGACTCAACAATCTGGAGGAAAATTACGACTCTTGCCACCCCCACCCAATTATTTCAGTTTTCTCCTAGAATAACAAACTCAGTCTGCTCACCAAAAGGTCAGACAAGTGTCAGGTCAGCACAAGCATTTGGAGTGTGATACTCCTACAGCATGAACTAACACCTTGCTGCTGTCTGACTCACCCAGCAGCAGCCTTCAAAAGGCTAAATGTTAAAATTGCCCAATTTCCTCTAAAAAGCAAATGGGCCTTCTCCTCCTCCACTAGAAACTGAAACAAACCAAAACCAGGCATGGCAGATGCTTACTAGCGTTAGCTTTGTATGTGTGTAGAAACATGTAAAATTAAATGCAATTAGCTGGAAATAAGATGACAAGGTAAGCCAACATGACTAGCTTGCTCTACGGGCACATCTCTGACCTTTTTCCATTCAAAAAATCAATTAAAATGAGCGCTGCATATATTTCTGATTTCCTTTGTGCACTTCAATACAGCGCATGTGACATTCAAATATATACCCATCTCTTAGAGATGTGCAGAAAGTTGTGTGAAAACAGAGTTGAGTTTCTGAAACGAAGCAAGACCAGCGCAAGAAGCAAGCAGAATTAGAAGACATCCAATTTCTTTTCTCAACCCCTGCATTCACAGAAGTGAAAGTTTCAAGATCCTGTCAAAACATTCACTCCCACCACTTTCTCCCCAGCATACGATCAAAGTGACAGTTACTGTGGCATCCTCTGATCTCCTGCCATGAAGTGACCAAACTCTGCCTCGTAATTTTTAAAGCACTGATCAAGCAGTTCCACCCAAGGAGGAGAAACCTCTCCGATTTCTCTAAATAAACAAAAAAAAAACACCCTCTCTATCACACATTCCGGACTCTCTCACCCCTATTAATACGCTTCTACACGCTCTTGGGTGCGTGTAAGTTTATTTTCAGAGCAAGCAGCAGGATCTCGCACCGCTTCACACAGAGCCTAAGGGAGGGCAAAC